GATAGATAGATAGATAGATAGATAGATAGATAGATAGATAGATAGATAGATAGATAGATAGATAGATTGATAGATAGATAGATAGATAGATAGATAGATATTCTGACCAAATTCTGATGGTGTAACTGTGGGAACAATGAAGCAGCCATAACTGCGAGGACTGGTTGTAAGCCATTCTCTTTTCAACGGTGTTGTGATTTTGGTCACTAAACTAATGGTATTAAGTCAAGTAACTACTTACATGGGTCGAGCTGACTTCTTGCATTTTCCGGTTGACATTTGGCACTGCAAACTCATCGTCTTGTTGCGGTTGCAGTTGTCAAACCACTGGATGACTTTTGGGGGCTCCCCCTCCCGATAAACATCTGCAGCTGGACCACAGGGTTCGTTTGCATCCAAATCACTTGGAACTAACTACTGGCACTGCAACAGTAAATAAAACATGTGCAGCGTCTGTGTCTTTTTTTTTTTTTTTTTGTAAATACAGCAGTATTTTATAACACAAGATATGAATGTTTAATGCAAGCTGCTTTGCCAACAGTGGTGGTTTTTCCCAGACGCTGTTCATGAAAGACGCATCAGAAGGTTGCAGGGAGGCATATTTAACATCCTCATCGCTGAATTATTTATGCTCTGCCTTGTTTTATTCATGATCAATATTAATACCGGTGTCTTTAAGAGGTGTGAGTCTTGCAAGCGTTTTTACCTGGGAGAATGAGAATATTGAAATGAAGCGACGGGTGCATTGTGTTGTTTTGTTACTGGGGGTGTCGCTGGTCTTGGGCCAAATAAAAGCTCCACTCCAGGAGTTCTCAGGAAACAGTGTTATGTCCTCCTCCATGATCTTTCCTAAGCAAACTTGTCAGAATCTAGCAGGTTTGGGACAAATTATCTTCACGCATGCTTTGTTGGTTAGCTTCTTATTCAGTGAATTCAGGAGCCAGCACAGATAGCATCTGGGAGTCTGAAAGCACTTTCATTCTCAACCTGCACTGCAAACTTCAGCTAAACCATCTAAAATTGCTGGATCCAGCGTGGGTCACTTACCAGGACCAGAGATTTAGTCTTCCAAGCTTCCTTTTACATGGGTTATTGAAGAACTTGGAGTTTTTTCTGTGTCCTCAGGGTCACCCTGAGCGGTGCAAATGGTTCCTGTCGTCTGCACTTTTTTTCCTCTGGAAATCCATTCCTCCTCCCACACCATTCCAAGACTCTTCATCCCAAATTGCATAGCTAAAAGTCTATAGAGATTCTTAGTCATCCAGGTCATGGGTGTCCCAAAGATGCTTTTTTTTTTTTTCAGGAGGCACCTGGACTTTCTTGCTTTTTCTTCTTCGAAGACGTTTCGCTTCTCATCCAAGAGATTTCTTCAGCTCTGATCGGATACTGTGGAATGGAAGGATTTATATTCCTTGCAATATTGCAATTCCTTGCAATGTTTATATTCCTGAAGAAGCTTCTTGGATGAGAAGCGGAACATCTTCCGAAAGGAAAAAAAACAACAGAAAGTAAAAAAAAAAAGAACCCTTTAGAACAAACATGACTTCTGCATACTTTTCGCCTATTGAAGAGGAACAGGGGCTGGAAGTGCTCAACC